GGGTCGGACACAGCTGTTGGCTGAAAACGAGATATGCCCAATGACGAATAAGTCTCAATTCGGGAGAACCAAGCCAACCAATTCGACAGGAATGCGGCCAGAGTGAGGACTCGAAGATAGAATGGCCGTGGATAGGCGTGCTCCGCCTCTGCCTCATCACCCAACTCTTGTCGAGGAATGGGCACGTGGTAGAAGAGGGAAAGGGCATCAAGTGGGGTAATCCACAGAATGCCTGACAGGTGAGCTTTTGGTTCCAAGGAGTGTCGCATCAGATTGAGCAATGGCGACACCGGTGACAAAGCCTGCAAACATAACCATAAAATCTGACTTTGGATTTTACAGCAAAGGCACAATATGAAAACATCAGTCTAAGTTATTAACTTCTCATGGGTTTTACATGTTAGTTTGCTAGTCTTTTCACCCCAATTTACTGCAGATTTGGATTGCGTCTTTAAGCTGCAACCCACCAAGCAAAATGTCTCGACACGCGCACCTGCCCGGCAACAGATGCTGTCCTACATGAAAAACAAAGCCAGGTAGCTTGGGGAAAATAACTTCAGTCACATTCCCGAGTTTTTGTGGTTTGTTTCCGCTATCACTGACACTACAAGATACCGTTTTGGCAGTAACTTGCAAATTCTTGTGTAACCCATATAGCGACAGTGAATATTACACAAACGCAACATTTCTCGCACAAGCATGGTTAATTCTAGGAACAACACTTACCATGGGGTCTAGAAGAATGAGACTTTGCATTTGGCGGTTGCGTTTACAAAAATTGCAGACATCCAAGAGCAGACGCCCGACACTCGCTCTCCATGACGGGATCGGATTCCCATGCACAGACACATCAACATTCTGCTGTGGAGCGAAACAAAAAGGCCAACGTGTCTGACGGAAAAACCACTGCCACTGTGGCTGTATGTCTGCATTTAGCGTGTTTGCACACTGCATGTATTGATAGGTATCCAACCCATCGTTATTCAATCTAACAACCGTGTCGTATGACCTTGATGATCTGTCAGACTGTGTGTCTTCGGGAATATTAAACTGGTCATAAATAGTCATTTCTTC